AAAAAGGAAAAAAAATAACCAAAAAAAAAAAAAAACCCCCCCCCCAAAGGAGGAAAGCAGTAAAGAAAAAAAAAAAAAAAAAAAAAAATCAGCATGGCCCCTTTCAGTAGAGGCTTTTTGCCGGTGGCCATTTTATTTTTCTATTCAGCCGTAAGACAAGCCCCGGTGGGGAGTCTGGGCCTGGTTGCTGATTGTGTGTAGGTCTGGCAGAGGGAAAAACCCCAGAAGATACCAGACATTTTAGGTGTCTGGTATTTTCCGGATATTTTTACCGGACAGGAGGCGAAAATACTGGACTGTCGGGGTCAATACTGGACATCTGGCAACCATATTTGGATCTGGCCCCTAGGCTTGGGGTTCCACCCCCCCAGTATTGTGGACCCCATGATGGTGCTCCAGGCCCACGGGGGGCTGCAGCACACAAAATCTACTAGCCTGGACCCCCCAAGGCTCTACTATGTGAGGAGTATTTTTCTCCTTTGTTAGGGGCCACGTCAGTGAGGACTTATTTTGGTGTTTTTTTTGTTTGTTATTGCTTTTCACTTGTGTGCCCCCCCTCCCACTGATTTTTCTGTGGGTCAGCAGCCCCTCCCAACCCAAAAAAGGTTCCCCACCCCTACTGTAGAAAATTACTCAAGATAAGTAGTTAATGGTGTCATTAGGAAGGGAATCAAGCTGTAAATGATTTAGTGATCCAATTTTCTAATCCATTAAAATGGGCAACCAACAAAAGTTAAGGAAGTTTCCTCCCAGTTAAAAAACCTTAAATAAACTCTTCTCTAGCATTTGATAGAAAAATAAAGAAAAAAATCAAAGACAAATCAAGGAAATGAATTCAAGTGAAAAAAACAGAACTAGTCTCTTAAAGAAAAGAGAGAATTCTGCAGAAAGAATTTCTATGTCACATTTACTTGAAGTAAAACTACTGACTTCATCACCAATAGTGTATTTCAAAAAGTGTCATAGGAATAATGCACTCTTCTCAAATAACTTGACTCCTACTAATAAAACATGGGCCAGCTATTGACCTTAAATAGGAGCAGGATTGGATACCAAATGGCTGTTTTAAGAATTGAGCAAAATATATTTGAAATTCTCTGGCTTGATTCTCAGCTGGCATATATTGGCATAGTTCCATTACTGGCAGTGGAGCTGTGCTGAAGTAGCTTTCATTAAATGCTTAATAAAACTTTTATATTTTGAAACTTCAGAAATAGGAACAATGATTCTGCACTGCTTATAGACCTGTTTAAGAATTTTATGAATTATTAGATTTAAATATAGCCTGCATGTGTATATTAGTACACATATAAAAGAGAGGGAGAGATAAGTATGTTTATTGCCATACATTTTCCCTGACTTCAGTCCCAGTTGCACAATTGGTTCCACATGCATAGACTTTTCTGTCCATCAGAAGCTGCTGATGTCCCTGGGACTTTGCATGTGCTTATATGGATCAGTCTACTTACATCAAGTACAGGTCTGGGGCCTAGGCTTTAATATGTAGTTTTTGTGACTGCTTTATACAGGCTATGAAAGACAGCATTTATTTTAATGGTCTGATGAAGGAGACAAAATCCATTTGTTGAAGAATCTTCTATATACTGTTTCTCTCGTGATTTGTGGGTAGACCTCCATATCTAAATGGCTTCTTTCATATCTATTTGCATTTTGTAACACAAGTTCCATTTAATTGATGTTAATACCTTACTATTAAAGTTATGGTAATAAGAAATTAAGTTCTGATTTTTATTAATGTGGACTTTGCTAATCTTGATTGTACAGTAATGATCTGAATTTTTCTTGAGTTGAACATTGCCTTTGAGATGCTTTAATGTAGATTCACTAAATTAAGATATCTTAGTTACATTACTTTAATCATTGGCAACTATTTTTTTATAAGTAATTTAGTACATTTTCTCTTGAAAGTGGTGAGGCTGTACATGTGCACATTACCAAACTTCTGAATTAGACAGCACTTAGGTATGTCTAAAAGAGAAGAAGCGGTGAGGAGTCCTATGGCACCTTATAGACTAACCGAAGTGTTGGAGCATAAGCTTTCGTGGGCATGCATCTGACGAAGTGGGTCTTTGCGTTCAAGAAAGTTGCTCTGCTCTTTTATCAGAGGGGTAACTGTGTTAATCTGAATCTGCAAAAGCGGCGAGGAGTCCTGTGGCACCTTATAGACTAACCGAAGTGTTAGAGCATAAGCGTTAGTCTATAAGGTGCCACAGGACTCCTCGCCGCTTTTGCAGATTCAGATTAACACAGTTACCCCTCTGATAAAAGAGCAGAGCAACTTTCTTGAACGCAATGTAGGTAAATTCTGAATAAAAGATATTAGTGGGAAATTAATCTTTGGGACGGGGTGGGGCAGCGCAGGAAGTCTGTTTGGCATGTAATGTTCTGAATGTAGGAAAAGATAAACAGCCTCTGTAATGCCTCCATGCAGTTTTTTCAAAATCAAGAAAGAACTCTTTATGAAAAGTGACCATCACATGACAAGCAATGGCATCTGTTCTATCAGCTTATAGCTAGGGAGATGTATGTTAACTAAAGACCAAACTGCCTGAGATAACTGGTACTGGAAAAACCATAAGCAATACACTAAAGGAAAATCAATCGCCATTTTTCTTTTCAGTCCACATTTTTCATCCTGCTTCCTTGAACAACACCATCCTGAGAGATGGGGCAGGGAGGAAGTATATTCTAGACAAATACTAGATAAATTACTAATTTGCCAGTTAGATAATGGAATAATCTAATAGGAGAAGTTGCTTAGGCTACCTCACTAGGTAGATTTAACAAGAGAATAAAATATTGAAGCGTGGAGTACCAGAACTTCTATTCAAGTGTGA